TAGGGCCCTCTGCAGAGGTTAGGGCCCTCCGCAGGGGTTAGGGCCCCCCGCAGGGGTTAGGTTAAAGTAGGTTAATTTAGTGAAAGTTAGAGGTCTAGATGTTTGGTTTCTGATGCATTTGGATGTACAGTATTTTGTTCAGATCTCACCTTCGGTTTTGATGGAAAATAGCCGTTTTTGACCAAGGATGAGTTGCATCTTTTTTAAAAAACAACGCATTTCCCACGGAAACGAAGGTCAGATATGAACAAAACACATCAAAATAGGTATTTTTGCATTTAAACATTTCACATTCCTACCACTAATCTATTACAGTATCATATTCTAATAAGACATCTAATTATAAGATCATTTTCATCTATTACATTACTGTCGCAAATGTATAATAATGGATAGCATATCCAAAATTTTCTCAACAGTATTTTCTTCCATTAATCTTCCGCCATTATCACCTACCTCACCTCTCACACTGCAAGTCTCCTTGATTAATCATCACGCGCATGTGTTCCCGTAAACGTCACTCGACCAATCAAAAGCTTTTTTTTTTTGGCAACCAATTAAATGATTTGTGGTTTAATTCGCCGTATTTTTGGCCCAATCAAAATAGATTTTTATTTTGGGTCTCTCATATTTCGAAATTCAACTTCATTTCCGACCATGGAAGTCTGTGATGGGTGTCACTTCAATTATATGGAGCTGATTGAGAGTTTTGGGGAAAAAACGAAGAAACTAAAGCATTTTTTCGATTGCATGGTGTTCTTCCAACCTCAGTAAAGTGTCTTAAGTGCAAGACTGAATGTAAATATTGCAAGGAACAACATATGTGGCGTCGAGTAAGAATCTCAGAATCCAACGACGAACAAGAAGCATCCCAATAAGGTAAGAAATAGGTGATTCCATCATATGGTGAGAGTCAGTTAGGTTAGGTTAGGTTTGGTTTGGTTTTTGTTTTTCTAGTGTGTTTTGGTGTATTTTTTATTCGCTTAGCCATTATTTTTTTTCGAAAAACGTCCCACGAAAAAAAATCGGTCAATTTCCGACGGAAATGAAGGTCATATTCGGTCTAAACACATACAAATACACAAGAAAAATATATTTTTGACTTTCTAACAGAGTGGGAGGTGGAAGTGCAAATTTACCTCAAAATACATCAGAAACCAATCATCTCGTGAAAAAATTCGAGGGTGTGCTAATACAGTACGAATAATTACCGAAATAAAAATCGAATTCGTTCATAACAACAAAAACCATCGGATAAACATAGTTTCAACTTCGATTTCGTAGTGGCAACACATACAAATTGACCTGTTTCAGTAAGGTCGGTGGTGGACTTTTAAATCAAGAGTGTTTAATGTTTTGTTAGTTGTTTCATGTGGCAGTGTTACGTGACAGCACATCAGTCCTCATCAACCAGGTATACCTTAGGTATAGCTGCCATGTCCATCCGTGGGACGAATAAAACCCAAGTACATTCAGTCTGTCCAATAAGGCTATAAAACTATACACTAGACGTAGTACCATACAAGATGAATATTGACCATACCTGTTTTTGGTCTTCTTTGTCACTCTTAAAGAAACCTTTCATTGATTTAACCAGTTTGTCTGCCATGGTCTTGACTGGGAACACTTATAACGAGACCCTCCTCCTCCTTCTACACACTGTTTACTTCTGTTAGTCTGTAAGCAATAATAGTCACCCAGAGTTCCCACACAAAAGAAGCTGCATCTGAGGCATAGTTGCCAATTCATGAGATGCCAAGAACTATTTATACATTTATGTTTCGGTAAAATTGCTTCTACATATAATACATGATACTCTCCATAAGTGTAGGTATATGAACAATGGTGAACAGTAAATATATTTAACTAATGATGGTCAAGAAAGTTGTTAAGTTTTATTGGGCATCCACTTGCAGTTCTTATAAACTTGGTATGGTATATTACCTGTCAGCCTTTCTGACATATACAGGTATGTATGTACAATAAAATTTCCGTATTCTTCCGTTTCTACATAAAATTTCATTATATATCGTGTCTCCCTACCATGCCATAAGTACCTCTCCCTTCCATGATAATATCATACTGTAAGTACTGTTGTTGTTATACAGTAGTGTTATTACTGTGGTTCAACAATGAAGGTTTTTAAGCGCGTAGCAAGGTTAGTAAACACTAGTCCAACATTAAAAATTATGATAGATAAAATTATCTAAAGTACTGTATGTAAGAGTGGACGGAAATAAAGTCCACAGTATCAGTGCCAAGATTAACAGCTGTAGTCAAGAGCCAATTGAGATAATGGCGCAGAGACAAGATAAACAGTTCCAGTCAGTCTTTCAATAAGACATGATTTTATTTAAAGTTGTAGTTTTATTGAAGTGTACACCATTACCTTAGTCTAATTTCACTATAACTGGCTGGAGTATATTAAATCAGGGGCGGATCCAGGAAATATCAAAAGGTTGGGAGCAAGAAGTTGTGTGTAGGGGAACATGGTGAGCGCAGCGAGCCCATCCAGCTTTTTGGGGGGTGGGGGAGGGAGGGGGCTTTAAGCCCACCAGATTTTTTTTCAACTGACCAATATCATGGGCACTTTGAGACCATGTGCACTTGATATTAGGATATTCCGAGGTCAATAGTAATTACTTTTTACTATACAAAAACGCTTGATTACAATACTGCATTAAAAAAAGTTTTGGAATTATCTGACGAAAAAGGGGGCTCTGGACCCCCAGAACCTCCCCCCCTACCCCCTGGATACGTCCCTGTAAATAGATGAAGTTGTATGGTACTGAGATACACTTGTAGTGAATTCTCCCCTACAAACGCTGTTTGTCGCTGCCTAGCCGACCCCACCAATTCCCCAGTGTATGCCTCGTGGTCTAGGTCAACCAGCGCCGCCATACACCACGGAGCGGGGGTCAACTGCTAAGCCACGCCTACCCCCGCTATTTAAGACCTGACCTCGTGGTGATCTCTCTCTCTTCTACCTACACCAACCAGCCAGCAACACCTCCTCCTGCCTGGCGGTCCTCGCTCCTCCGCCTGCCTGGCGGTCCTCTCTCCCGCTGGCGAGCATGGCGACCCACAAGCTGTCCTTCTCTGAGCGTCCTCACCAACCAGCTCTCTCTACATCACGCTTGTAACCATGCTGCCTTCCCAGCACCAAGCTGCATTGTACATCCAATACAACATGTATATAGAGAGCACATCGTGAGTTTCCTTTCTCCATCCAATCCTGAGTGTGAACCAAACATCTTGAACCCCACAAATGGTGACTCCCGGAGATTCGCACTCACACAGGATGGAGGAGAAACTGACCACGCTCCCAGTCTTCAAGCAACATGGAAGACTGGCTTATCCACCCAGAAGCAGCTCTCATCGGCTCTACAGCTACTGTCTCTACACCGCAGGTTAGACACCCTAGAGCAGCTCTGCTACTCTAAGCAGACACCAGCTCCTCTTCCTGCCCCAAGCACCACGTCCTACCGACCCCAGCACACCCGTCCTGCCTCAGACGCCGACCCCGGCCCAGCAGTAACCCCTGCCGCCCATGATGCGGCCTCTGTTCCTGAGTGCGGACACACACACCCCTCTTTTCTCCCCCAGGTACTCCCTGCTAATGTCCTGCACCCTGCTGCTGTCGTGGACCCAGCTGCTGTCACGAGCCCTCATCCGCTTCTGCTGACGCAGCCCTTGCTCCTGACCCAGGCCCACACACCCCAGCAGGCGCATCTGACGACTCTGTACCTACCGTGAGGGAAGCACAAAATTCATCGCCTCCACACACCCTTATTCTCCCTCTCTACTCCCACAGATATTGTGTATCTAGACAGTTGTCCCCAGCGACCGGCTCATCCACGCCATCGCCGTTGTCTCACATGAGGCACGCACCGCCCGTTCTGCCTCACATGTGCTATGCAACTCTGCAGACAACAAGTCTCCTACACAGCCTGGAGGGAAGGGGGAGTATTGTAGTGGAATTCTCCCCTACAAACGCTGTTTGTCGCTGCCTAGCCGACCCCACCAATTCCCCAGTGTATGCCTCGTGGTCTAGGTCAACCAGCGCCGCCATACACCACGGAGCGGGGGTCAACTGCTAAGCCACGCCTACCCCCGCTATTTAAGACCTGACCTCGTGGTGATCTCGCTCTCTACCTACACCAACCAGCCAGCAACACCTCCTCCTGCCTGGCGGTCCTCGCTCCTCCGCCTGCCTGGCGGTCCTCTCTCCCGCTGGCGAGCATGGCGACCCACAAGCTGTCCTTCTCTGAGCGTCCTCACCAACCAGCTCTCTCTACATCACGCTTGTAACCATGCTGCCTTCCCAGCACCAAGCTGCATTGTACATCCAATACAACATGTATATAGAGAGCACATCGTGAGTTTCCTTTCTCCATCCAATCCTGAGTGTGAACCAAACATCTTGAACCCACACTCATCTGTGACGTCATGGGGACTCCATTGTAGCACCTACTGTAGCTAGCAACATTGTTAAATTTTTTATGGTGAATTTTTACATACATATTAAGTTCTATATCTGGAATGAATAAACAAAATTGCATAGTCATGTGTCAAGTCTTTGTGACGTTCCGTAAAGATTTTTGTCTTGGATAACTCGGTAAATATTTGAGTGAACACAGAAAGCAGTCTAAAGTCTGTAGCCAGCACCATTTTCCTTACCCTTGAAATCATATACAGTACACACGTATACCCAGTTACCCACCTGTTCACTATATTTACATAGATACAAACATGGGATCACCTGAAGAATAGCACCCCAGCTTATTCCACCTGTGATAATTAAATGATTAAAAACACCCAAACACAACTGTACCTGGGGGGGGGTAGGTTACATTAATGTTGGGATGTTTTAATTATTCAGGTAAAATAAGCTGGGGGAAATCTTAAGGTAACCCCTAAAATGTTCAGTGCCCTTCTTTAAGATCGAGTTGGCGACTAAGAAAACATTAAAATTATAAACAATTAACCTCAATACTCACCACAGGTTGAGTTGGTTGTAGCCTGATATGTTTACTGCCACTGTGACCCATAATGGCTGTGGGATCCTCTTCACAACCTGCTGTACTTGGATATCCTCAATGATCATAAGTTATCCTCAGTGTTCAGAAGGTGTCCTCGATAACTGTAAACAGCCCTCATTATTTCATCCCTAACACAAGAGTCTTATTGTTTCCTCATGAGCTGTACTCGATGCTGTCTGGATGTATTTTTTGTACAGCCTGTATAGCCTTCGCTGCTCACAAAGTAATATTATGAAATATTGATTAGCCATTTTGATTGTGGGAATTTGGGATTCATTTTATTACACCGTTTTTATGTTATATGTTTCATCTTCCAAGAATAGGTAAGACAAGAAATCGAAAAAAATCACTTTGCTTGGATGTTTCTGAATTGTATACTTCAATTGTCTATACACATGTTGAATCTGTGTGAGCCCTAAATGATTTTACTTTTTAAAACTACTGTGATCTGATGTGAACCGCGCCTCCATTGTCACTCTGAGTAGTGTTACCTTAGAGGTCTGCTAATTATTCAAGAACAGTTATGGGGTGTACGACGCCATTTACGATGACCTTGCCCTGATCGTGTTTCAGGCTGCTCGTTTGGAATTTACGTACGCATTATAATTCTATTCACGACAATTAAGATTCCCCTATGAAAGTTTGAAGGTAAGATATACTCGCTGGTGTCGGCTGTGAGGTCAATGAGGAGAGTGTTATCTAGTGAGGGTCCCCACGCACTCTCCACCTAACATGGCAAGATCTGGCATTCCTCTCCTCTTGTGCATACACTGGACCGGACCACGGGGAAGGGGGATATAGCACTCACTGGACCTCTGTGGAGACTAGCGAGTCATAATTGATTGAGAGATCCAGTATAATGTATCAATCATTATGTCACTCTAAATTGTTGGCCAGGTAAAATGTTTGTATACCTCAGGTAGTTTGCTTGTATACATTCCCTGTCTATGTATATTGTATTCCCACATTGGCTACATGCTTAATCAATGTAATCATATATGGAAATTTTAATGGATAACTACGTATCACTTAAACTGTAAGTTAGAGGGATCTGTTAATTGCAAAGTACAGTGCAGTACAGTACAGGGTAACCAATGACCTATTGTGGTAAATTCAAATTATTTTATAGGCGTTTGCTGTCACTCTAGCACCCACAATGTTCCCCCTATAATTCTGAAGTTAATAACGGTTATGCCAACATCGATACGCATTTTATTTATGAGTTATACAGTACTGTAGTTCCTTGACCTGGGAAACAGAATTGGACTGACAACTGTGGTGACGTCAAGCCCAAGCGGCCCACCCCAGTGTTAAAGTTGGGCGGATAAACCTAAAGGAAGTATGGCAAGGATAGACGGTAATTCTTCACCAAATATTCTTATATAAACTTTACATTCTCGAAGTCAAGTACAATAATATAGGGTTGGGAGCCACACCTGTCAAGATTTTAGACAACCTACTTACTTCACCATAAGTTTCCCCGCCCTAACCTAACTTAAACTAATCTTGTGAATTTATGTTCCTTGATTGTTGATAAGCGAATTCAACACCCAAACGCTACCCGGGGGTTAGATTGAATTAGTTTGCTTTGGTTAGGTTAATTTAATTTGATTAGGTTTAATTAATATCCGTTAAGTTAGTCAGGTTTATTTAGATTATCGTTGGGTTGGGTTGATTTAGGTTAGGTTAACATTAGGGTAGATAATCTTAAAGTGAAACAAGATAAATAGGTTAAATCATTAAGCGATCCTTATATTTTACCGTAAAAGCCATTTATATATATACAGTATATATAATTTTTTTCTCTATAGATCGAAGGTAGGTTGATTAATTCCATTATATTTAGAAGTTCAGTGTAGTTATATAGTAATTAATTGTTGTATAATACTGTATAATTATGTTACCTTAAGCAGCGGCAGTGTGAAAGGAGTTTGGCCTGAGGGGATGAATGACCTACTCGACTCACACCATACCACCTCACTCCTTCAACCACAAACACACACACACTCAACCACCACACACCCACTCAGCCACCACACTCACTCATCCACCAAACCCACTTTCTCACCTACCACTCTCATTCAACCACCACACTCACCAGGGGCGGATCCAAGAATATCAAAAGGGGGTCCAAGGAGTTATGGGTGGGGGAACATGGTGAGCACAGCGAGGTATTTTGAGGCCGTTTTGAAACCACGTGCACTTGATAGGAGATATTCTGAGGTCAATAGTAATTACTTTTTACTCTACAAAAGCACCTGAGTACAATACTGCATTAAAGAAAAAGTATTGGAATTTTCTGATGCAAAAAAAGGGGGGGGAGAGTCCGAACCCCTAAGATCACCCTGGATCCGTCCCTGCTAACGCACCCAACCACCACACTCACTCAACACTTTGGGTTTACCAAACTACCACACTCACAGCTGGCCAAGTAACAATAAATCAGAAACAATAAACTAAAACAAGTTGACTCGGGCTTGGCACACATGGTCACTTGTACTGGTAAATCAACATCATTATTAAACCTCTTACAGGTAGACGCTGGGTGTAAAATAACGCACTTTTACCCCGTATGGTTGAATTTTCCATTTACTCAAATATAACCCGTTTCTGTGAGTGGTAAACTTTCCTGGTGGTATTGGTATACTGTAAGGTCATATTACACACAGTCACTCCCGCGACACTTTCTTACATTTCGAACATGGAGTTAGTCGTAGAATATTGTCCAGTTCTCAGGGCAGGTCACGAGGCGTCAAGGGAAAGCCTTCCTGTTGAGACGAGAACAAATAATGCAAGGTTTCTGGCATGGTTCTCACGCCCCTTGTGGCTTTTCCTGTGTCACTTGTAACTGATCCTCGTAGACGTGTCCATATGTCTGTCTCCCCTCAGCCTCCTTGATGTCTCGAACACATTATATCCTGTTAAATTCTCGGGTTATCCCTTATACACATACATCACCACTACCACGTACACCATTGATTCCCAGGACTTGTGTTGGGTTAGGGAGGATGACTGGCTGGCTCCAGGCACGCGCTCTCCTTCCTCCAGGTCTCTTCACTGGCTATCGTTCAGTGTCTAAATAATTCACCACTCAACCACGTTTTTCTCGTGGTTAAGTGAATGTTTTTAAAAGCTAAATTAACTTGATTGAATGCCGTAAATAAACCGATAGTGATCTAAAGTTGGACATACTGTATTTGTTGTTTATTATACGAAATATACCCCAAAACGAACACCAGTTCACATTGTTCTCATGGGCGAGCGATACCTTAATGGGATAGTCATGCAAAGTTGACAGTTTGTAAAATTTAAAGGGCAAGTTTCTGCTTTCATTTTTTTTCTCGAAACGTTACTGTTACCTTTAGGATATTTTTATCATCTTCGCCACTGATCGACTCGTTAGCCTCTTGGGCGGTCGGTCACGTCTCTATTATGCACTGTTGGCACGTATGGGGCATGTACTGCCTCCTGATTGTCTGTACCTGCTCCGGCGTTGGTCAAGTCTGGTCTTGAAGGAGCTCACATTCGGTGCCATCACAACACTCTCTGGCAAATTGTTCCAAGAATTTACAGTTCTCACTTCGAAAAAGTTTGCCCTCATAGTTTTCTGGATTTGTGGCGTCTTCAACCTTGAGCTGTGACCTCTAGCGGGGCGGGTATCCACCAGCTCCAGGTAAGGACACACGACTGAGTAGTGCCCTCTGAGATGTTTGTAAACTTCAATTATGTCACCCCTTGCCCTTATATAATATAAGCTAGGCAGTTATAGGCGTTCTAATCTCTCTGGGTAACTGAGGCGCCGTAGTGCAGGCACCAGTCCTTTGGACTTTTTCAATTACTTATTTACTTTTAACCTCTTCACCATTGATCGACTCGTTAGCCGCTTGGGCGATCGGTCACGTCTCTGACAGTCCTTAGCATATCTCGGGGACCCCGACAGTACTCCAGACGGGGAAGCACCTCACTCTTGAAGATTGTTACAACACTCTCGCAGATATTTCCAAGAGTTCACAATTCTCATTTCGATAAAGTTTGCCCTCACAATTTACTGGACTTGTGTCTTCTTCAACCTTGAGCTGTGACTGAGTAGTGTCCTCTGAAATATTTAATATCTGTTAAGTTATATGTCACGAAATGTAAGAGGATGCACTTAGGTCATACAAACAGTAGGGATGCGTAGCACATGTTGTAATGATCATGATAATAGCTAACCTGAAAACCTTAAGGATTCATATTACGCTCAAACGTCCACAAAACCTTCTGAGTCCCCCAGTGGAAACGTCCCCCGTTTTCTCTGTTTCCCCTGTCTTTGTCTTATGGGAACTTGGAATATAATCCACGGATTCAGTAGCAGACGCTGTATGTTGGGACCTGTTGCCATCCAACCCTTTGTAATCAATTTAATTTTGCTTTTGATAGCTGAGTCAGAGCATTGTTAGTGAAGATAATAGTAGAGAATGAAAATGAGTTCACAGTCTCAGTTTCAACGTCCGAGTGTACCGTAAATTAATTCATCGGAATAGGAGTAGGTGGACTCCCTGGCCTAGTTTGAGTGAGGGCCCCGCGGGCATTTCTACCGTTAGTGAGTGCCCGTCCCTTCATCCATACAGGTATGCCATTCCACGCTGTGTTGTAATTTGCCCTTCTTTAAATGATTTGACCCAATTAATAGTTGATTGTGCAAGTGTTACAGTAACGTAGTTGATATGCTCTGAGTGAAGTCATATTTACGTCTTTAACGTTCCCTGAAACGTGATGTTGTTGTCACAGTTAGTGAGTGCCCGTC